GTGTGTGTGTGTGTGTGTGTGTGTATGTATATGTGTGTGTGTGTGTGTGTGTGTATGTGTATATGTGTGTGTGTGTGTGTGTGTGTGTGTGTGTTTTTTTTTGAGTGTGTGTGGGTGTTTGAGTGTGTGTGTGTGTGTGTGTGTGTGAGAGAGAGAGTGTGTGTGTCCTGTGGCGGCTCTGACTCATCTGCCCTCTGTTTGATCTGTTGTTAGCGGGTTCATGCGGTCAGGTCGGCCGGTCACATGATTCACTCTGGATCACAGGCGTATTATCTGTTCCAAACCTCTCTGTGTGTGTCTACAGCCAGTTAGCAGAGATTCACAGGAAGTGACATAGGGATTTGGACGGTGGTGTTTGTCTTATTTTTAGGCACAGCATCATTTGATTTGATTTGATTCAAGAGTCATGATTCCAGTGTGATTCTCAATTCAGTTAGTGTCACTGCAGCACGTGAGTCTTCAAAGTGTTTCATTGCTGGCATTTTTAGAGTTCCTACAGATGTATCTGATCTCTAGATGTTTATTTATTCATTTTAATAGAAAGATTGAAACTTACTGTATCTTTAACTGTAATGTTTTTCAGTGAAACCTTAATAATGAATTAAAGATTTCAAGTGAATGCAGTCACTCTGGCATGTAAAAAAGGCTTTTTTAGTGCACAAGATATTGGTTTCAGTACAAGAAGTTATGTTAAAATAAAATATTAATCTCTCACACAAAAATATTTAATTTTATTTTAAATGACAAAAGCTTTGATTAAGATATACATCATTAGATGCAAAAATTCTGGCTGTGCTTAATGGGTACATGTTTGTTCCCTTTAAGCACACCCCTGTTCCCATTAAGCTCGCATCATGTTTTATTAAAAATTCTTGTTTATTTTAAACAAAGTCAATAACAAAAAAACAACAATAAAATCAAGCAACAAGGCATTCAATCTGATCAGTTATATATTCACAGTGAAGTGTCGTTTAAGCACATTGCAGCATCTAGACTAGTCCACGTTCAGCTAAGTAACACATATTAAAAAATTAAATAACAAAACATTTCATTCACGGGGATGAACACAGAAACTAGCCTCATTATGAAGTCTCCTATTGAAGGAATGTCTACTTATCTATAGTCTCTTAAGGCTGGAATACACTACATGATTTTTGCCCCAATTTTGCACAGATTTACCATCTGGAGAAGTTGATGCTAGTTGCTGAAGGTCAGAGCCAGTCTGCAGATTTGAGTCGACTGATTCCTTAGAAGATCACGCAGTGTATGATGGTCACAGACTCCGATTTTTTAGCTTCAGACTTTGATTCCATCCAGTCGGAGGAGATCAAACATGTTTGATATTTTCACATTATTTTCATTTCATTTCACGTGTCTCCTAGCAACAATGCACACATTTCTGGCTGAGTTTGTTGCGATCGGAGCGACTTGAAGGCCTGGTAGTGTGTGATCTTCAGTCGTTTAGTGTATGATGCCCAGTTTGACTGGTTACAAGTCACAAAGGAAAACTAGCCATCATGCACTAAACGATCATACACTGGTGTTTTAAAAATCTGTTCACATTTTAAAAGTTGTGTAGTTTATTCCAGCCTTTAGTTGCTTTTTCCCTGGACAGATACGACAGGTTTCTGATGGCTCCTTCTTTGTTCGGAAGACAGGCCTCTTTCATCTTTGGTCATAAACTATAATTACGTCTAGTTATCTTAAAGCTGTTCAAATAAGTTAACCATTTTATAAAGATTAACTTAAAGTGACAACCATCAGTTTATATTTAAAATCAGTTTATGAAGTAATGTTATGAAGAGCTTAAAGAGAGCACACTGAGCTTGATTGGAGCAGTAACAATTTTTCATAAATGTCATGTAATATTTATTCAAATGACAAAGATTTTGCTAAATAAATAATCTAGGTCATGTATTAAGTTCATACATATTTTAATATGTACAACTATTATTGACAATATCTATGAAATGATACTTTTTCTTATTGATGTCACGCTGAAGCTGTGTGATTTTCATAGTAGTGTAACCTTAAAATAATATGAAATCAGTAATGCCTGTGAAGTAATATATTAGCAAAGCACACAATCTTATACAGCTAGTCAGCTAACTGTGTTCTGTAGCATCTGCGCTGTGTTGCTAAAACTGTCTTTTGGATCTAATGTAATTATTTCCTACAGGTTATAATATGCAAAAGTATAAACATTAATCTCTTAATTTTACAGTAAGTAGTGAAACACCCCCAAAATAAAGGCTTGAACGTCTAAAACATGCACATTTAAGGGGCTCCTCTTTTAGTGAAAGTTTTCAGACAGCTTTCAGAATGTCCAGCAGACAGCGTGCACACACGGAGACCCGTATCTCAGCGTGCACGGATCTGATTGGCTTGAAATCACAGGAGGAATGTAGTAACACACATCAACTGGTTAAGACATCAAGTAGGATAATACATTATTTTTTCTTTTTATAATCTGAGTGCTTAATGGGTACGTTTACCCAGTTGTTTTTTTAACAATTATTTATTTGTTTTAAATTGACGTTTTATGATTGAATTCAATGTTATCTTTTCATCAGCTCAGTTTGTGAAACCCTGCGTTAGACTAACACTCTTCGGCTGTGGCACTATATATCTAAGCTTATGGTCTGATTATTATTTTGTGTGAATGGATCAGTGTTGTTTGAGGAAGAATCACATTTGCTTTCGCCCTCCTCTGCTCTTCCTGTTGCTGCACTGGAATAAATAAATAGCAACCCTGAATTACAGCCACAGTGGAGTGTGTGTGTGTGTGTGTATGTGTGTGTGTATGTGTGTGTGCGTGTGTGTGTGTGAGTGCGTGCGCGTGTGTGTGTGTGTGTGTGAGTGTGAGTGCCTTAGGTTGAGCAGTGCAGGATAAAAGAGGAGATCTGGAGGAGTAAATGCTGAGTGTAGCAGGAGCGCAGTGAGATGCAGTGGGTGTGAGAGAGAGAGACAGACAGATCCTGCCAATGCAGAAGTGTCTCACTGTGCGTGAAGAAGCGTCACATGTGGAGGAGGAAAAGGGAAGATCAAACCCAATCGCTGCTTGCCGCTCGCTCTGAATCACACTTTAATGGTGACTGTTCTCTTTCAGGTCCAGTTGGCATGATCACATTTGCAGGCTCGGAGGATGTGATGTAAATCTCATTTATAGAAGTCTGATGCGCTGTGAGAGAGAGTTTAGTCCTACACACTGCGGTGAAGCTTCAGAGCTGATGGGTGGTGTGTGTGTGTGAGGGCTGGGCAGACTGCACCAAAACACACACACAGTGTCAGTATGTGGAGGTTCAGTCTCCGTTCACTCATGTGTTCAGTTATATAAGTGCAGCGCTGCTGTTTGACTCCTCATCAACATCAAACTAACATCCATATCAACATCTGAGAGGCGCGGATCAGCTCCAGCAGATTTACTGTAGGACATAAACACATTGATATTTGTGTTTGATAGAGCCATCTGACTGATTCACCATCACAACAACAAATAATTCAGCCAAAAAATACTGAATCTGTCATGATTTACCCGTGCTGCTCTTTTCACCAGCAGTTCAGTGATGATCAATCTCCAGAAAAGACAAAAACACCTTAAAGGGGACATTGGATGCGAAATTCACTTTTACTTGCTGTTTGCATATAATTGTGTCTTAGCAGTGTGTGGACACAACCACCCTACAATGATAAAAATACATTTGCTCCTTTTTTTTTAATCCCCAAAAAACCTAACCAATAATCAAGCCGTTTTGATTTTCTGAGCAGTATGGGCAGACTGCACCAAAACACACACACAGTGTCAGTATGTGGAGGTTCAGTCTCCGTTCACTCATGTGTTCAGTTATATAAGTGCAGCGCTGCTGTTTGACTCCTCATCAACATCAAACTAACATCCATATCAACATCTGAGAGGCGCGGATCAGCTCCAGCAGATTTACTGTAGGACATAAACACATTGATATTTGTGTTTGATAGAGCCATCTGACTGATTCACCATCACAACAACAAATAATTCATCCAAAAAATACTGAATCTGTCATGATTTACCCGTGCTGCTCTTTTCACCAGCAGTTCAGTGATGATCAATCTCCAGAAAAGACAAAAACACCTTAAAAACAATGTCCCCTACATTGGATGCGAAATTCACTTTTACTTGCTGTTTGCATATAATTGTGTCTTAGCAGTGTGTGGACACAACCACCCTACAATGATAAAAATACATTTGCTCCTTTTTTTTTAATCCCCAAAAAACCTAACCAATAATCAAGCCGTTTTGATTTTCTGAGCAGTATGATGTCATACTGCTCAGGCCCCGCCCACAGCCGCTGACAGACTGTCCTTTATTAGCATAGCTCCGCCCTCAGCCAGTTGTGCGCTGTCCGCTGTTTTCTCCGCACTCGAGCATCTGCAGCGACAACAACGACGTCTCGTAAGCAGTGCAGGTGTTTTGCAGCTGGATGTAAAAGTGAACATAAGACATCAGAGCCGCCGAGGACGCAGTGCATTAGTTTTGTTTTTGGTGGTAATGCGCCACCGTATACACCTAAACTCACCTTATAAAGTCATGCGATGGTTTTATGAGAAACAAACTGAAATAAAAATCATTTTTGAGTGTTCAGATCTCATTCAGGATTAATGCATTCAGTTATGACACGCGTGAGAGCCAGTGCAGTTATAAAGTATCATGTGACTTAAAAAAAAATATGATTATTAATATTATGTTTTTTTTTTTTTTTTAATTCTCCATATAGTTTTGGTGAAAAATAAATATTTTCTTCTGATTATTATAATCTCAGATATGCACAGATGTTTTCCAGACAGTATGTAAACAGTTTGCTTTAGTACTGTCCATTACTTAATTTGGGAAATAAAATAAATAATAAATAATTCATGTGTTAATTTATTTTGTCTTATAATAAACAGTTTTATTGTCTTTACAATGTTACAATACTTTTCTCATTCAGCATTTTGTGTGTGTGTGTGTGTGTGTGTGTGTGTGTGTGTGAATATATAGAGGTCTTGATATTTTAAGTAGGGGTCTCTACCGATCAGTAATCATCATATTTGGAGGATTTTGGCATCAAAAACATTGAAAAGCCCCAATGTAGATGACTGTTATGACACTTTGCTGCTTTTCTTCCTTTCTGGAGTTTGATGCTTTCATTGAATGATGAGTTATTCCCTCAGACGTGTTGTGATGGTGTTGAGAGGTTGTGTGTGATCTGAGGTCAGCGTGAGCTATTATCTGCTCTCCGTTTCTTTCTCATTCCAGCTCTGGCTCATTTATTAATCTAATAATTGATCGAACTCACTAACCGTGTGATCATGCTGCAGGAAATGATGTTTTAGCTTTTGTTTTTGTGACTAAAAACAAAAAAGCATTTCGATAAAACATCCACATCATGGCTCCGTTCATTCATGAGCAGAGGACGACCTTTGACCTCCGATGACCCTACAGGTGTATTAATAATTCCTTTATGCAGAATAGAATAGTTTTTCCCCTAGTGTTTTTTCACCCACATCAAATAACAAACATTTATAATTAACAGAAATATTAATTGAATAACAAAGAAACAGGAACCCAAAGATTTAACTGCAAAACCCATCAACCTCTGCTGAAATGAAGGAGTCTGATGTGTTACTTCATGATGATGGAAGCATGACGTTTCCTTTCTTTTCTTTCTGTTGTGTGTCCATTGCTCCACAGCTCATAGACATGGAGAAATGGGTACGTGGATTCACACACACACACACACACACACACACACACACACACTCACAGACACACTCACCCACACACACACTCACTCACTCACTCACTCACACAGACACACATACACTCACTCACTCACTCTCTCACACGCACACACACACTCACACACTCACTCTCTCACACACATTCACACACACACACACACACACCCACGCACCCACACACACACACACACACACACACACACACGCTCCCCCACTCACCCACTCCCACCCTCACACACAGACCCACC